CCCTCTCCCCCTTTATTTGCCCCCACCTCCCTTGGGCCTTGGGCAGACTGGAAGCCACTGGTGGGCAGGGCCATGACTTCCCACCCCATTCCAGGCACCGCCTTTGGAAATGGGGAAAACATCTGCTCCTTCAGCCCCTGGCCGCCATCTTGTGGGGGGAACTAGCCTGTATCTCAGGTCTGTGCAATCCCTCCTGTGTGGCCTACATCTGGTGTATTGGAAACACTCCAATGTCAAGAGAAGGATGATGAATAATAAACTTTCTCCTGACAAACTCTGGGAGCATGAGCTTCCCTAACTCAGTGACCTCTCTCCAGAGCTGGGGCTGGACTCTGTCTCCTCTTTGTATTTTTTCAGGTGTGGGTCTGACCCTCGTCCTCTGTGTCCAGCAGGTTGCAGGCTGCTGTGGACTCTTAGTCTCTCTCTCTCTCTCTCTCTCTCTCTCTCTCTCTCTCTCTCTCTCTCTCCCTCCCTCTCCTTGTACCTATTACAGTTCCAGAGCAGAATGCTATGCTTGAAACACTCAGTAACTGGAAGAAACCACACAGTGTAGTGGTTAGACCCAAAGCCGCTGGGTTTAAAATCTCAAATCTGGGTTTCAATGCCAGCTTGGCCATGTACTGGCTGTGTGATCTAAGGCAGGTACTCTAACCTCTCTGTGCCTCAGTTTCCTTATCTGCATAATAAGGATGATAATAGAGCCTACCTCATAGGATTTCTAGAAAAATTAAATAAGATAAAATTTATAAAGTACTTAAAGCAGTTCCCGAGACACTTTAGGCATCACGCAAGTATCTGTTAAATGTCAAGTGAAAAAAATGTTTGAATAATAACAAAGATGAGTTACTGGCAACTTTACCAGGCACTCTTCAATTTCAGGAGTTCTGGGTTCTTCCTTCCTTTGATGATGTCCAAGCAGAACCTGCCTGCAGCCGCATCCCCGCGAAATACAGTCGGTGTCATAGGAGGGTCTGGAGGTCTTATTAAGCACCACAAAATACTCAGTCATGTTTTATTTGAAGTGCTAGGAATTCTGAAAAGCATGTGTCTCTGGAGGGTGACTCAGGGTCTTAGAAGGGATGACCACAGCAAGAGTTCCCAGACACAACTTTTCAGAAAGGGTTTCTGGGAAAAGCAAATTCCGGGGTGGGCACTGAGGGTTTCATTTCCCAATACCCATCCAGCCTTGCAGCCTGGCTCTGCCACTTCTCGCTTTGCCCAGTTCCTTACTGTCTACACAGGAAAGGGATATCCTCATGGATTATGGGACATTGGGAATATCTCGAGACAATTATTTATCCTACTCTTGGCATGCCTCAGGGGCTAAAACTGAAACACAGGGAAATTATGCAACTTAACCAGTCACGTAGCGCGGGTGAGGTCAAGCAGTGTCAAATCTCCGGACTCCAGACTTAACGTTTAATCTGATGAGATTCACTGCCGTCCTGTTATCCCAGCACAGACTTGGTTTAGTCACAGAAGCTGGTAACCTAATTTCAGAGATGTGTGGCTGGGGAATCCTGGGTCATCTGGTGAAAAGGACATTACCAGGAAATTAAAGCATTCAAACTCCTGGAGAAAGTTGTGTGTCAGGATAAAGTAGGAAAAAAAAAATCAAAACAAGACCAGAAGTTAGCTGTCTATATGATCAAAAGGGAAATTGTTTTACTATGGAAAATATGGATAAAAGATGAAAGTATTACTACTTTACTGATACCTTCTGGAACACACTGAGGTTGCTGCAACCTCCAATATTTTAAGACAGCATGAATTAGGAAGAAATGATTTGTAATTGAGTATCTGGCCATCTAGGAATTCACTTTTTAAAAAAGTTTTATGAAGACTCAAATGAAGTTGAAACAATACCAATCTTTTATTTCCTATACTTTCCCAGTTTGCTGGTCCCATCGAGTGGGACAGTGGAAAGAGAACGGGATGTGGAATTGTACAGACTTGGGTTCCAATCCTTGCCCTCCTACTACTAACATGGCCTTGAGCAGTTTGCTGAGCCTCTCTGACCTTCAGTTTCTTTATCTGCGGAGTGGATATAATAACACGGACCTGACTGGATTGAAGTAGGCAGAGCCTCCACCAAATGCCTGGTACATCATAGACACTCAGCTGGGTCTGGACTGCAGCATATCTTAGACTCATTTAAAACGCCAGTTCAAAATGGATTTATCAAAAGTGTGACATTGTTGCAAGGATAGACAGATCAAAAGAACAGAATAAAGAGCTCAGAAGTAGACCTGCACATATATGATTAATTGATTTTGACAAAAGCTCCAAGATAATTCAATGGGAAAAGGACAGTCTTTTCAACAAATGGTGTCAGACAACTGGATGTCCACATGCGACAAGTAAATGAACCTTGACCCATACCTTGCATTCTATACAAAAGATAGCTTGAAATAGATCATAGATCTAAATGGAAGAGCTAAAGCTACAAGACTTCTAAGAGAAAAATAGGACAAAATCATTGTGACCTTTGGTTAGACAAAAATTTCTTGGGATACAAGAAGCACAAACCATAAAACTTTTTGATAAATTGGACTTCATCAATATTAAGAAAATGTTTGCTCCTCAAAAGAAAATGAAAATGTGAGAAAATATTTGTAAAGTAAATTTACATTTTTTAACATTACTATCTCCTGAACCTGTGGCATAGAGTAGATGTAACTAATAATTCTTGTGTGCCTCATCTTCTCCCTGATAAAACATACCTCCTAGATGTTTTCCTTCCTCCTTCACTACTTATGCCATTGCTCACTACCGTAATTCTCATAATACTCTTGTGAGCAAGAGCTGGAGAGAAGATTGAGCTTTGTGTTATGATATCTTAAGCCCCACATCTTAAATTCCATTCTTGGCAGGAGAGAAAAGAGCAACAATGAAAATCTGGAGATAGGCACACACCCATCAGGATGTAATCTGAAGCTTTTGGTAACAACAGAGCACTCTCAACAATGACAACAAAAAGCAGAGATTGAGCACACACATTCTGCCAGACATGGCACTAAGTGCTGTACTTGCACCATTTCATTTAACTGTAGGAGAAACATCCATACACGAAGTCAGCACAAAATCCCAGAGGAAATAGGGAGACCAAAGAGGCACCCAGCAGAGTTTCATTTGGGCTGTTCCCTCCCGTATGCCTGCAATGGATTTTGCTCTCCCTATGCCTCTGTATTGCTTTGTCCTTTGGACTGCATTCTAGATTCATCATGTCTGGTTTTGGTTTTACTGTTTTGGGACTGTGAGCTCACTTTAGGGGATTTATCTTGTTGGAAGCTTCAGCCTCTTCAGTTCCTGGCACCAGGCTTCGCACTTCCTTGCTCCATGACTCCCGTAACCTCTTCCCCGACCTCCTCTTTGCTTCCTCAAAGCTTCCACTTCCAGCGTTTGACCATCCCTGGGTGACTATGAATCTCACATGTCCCAAGGTACCTAACCGACAATATTGGTATTGACAATCAACGGGCATCTCTTTTCTAGTGTCTTCCATAAACCATTGTAAGCATAGCTGAAGATGGAAGTGTTCATGTACTTATGATGAACACAGGTTGAGAAAGCCACGTCTACCTTGACCAAGGTAGCTGTGGAGCTTTTTAAGTATTGCTGTAACTGTGAGGGTTATTAGTGAGCAAAGCTCCAGTGTAATGATTATCTGGGTGTTGCAATGTCAGCAGTCGATACCTCTGAGCCAACTGGGGACTTATGGGGGGGGGGACAACGCAAACCATGCAGTGGGGAACACAGCAGCATGTGCTCATCATCCCGCCCTTCCCACAGATATCCTAGAAGAACTAAGACCAGGTGCTAACGTAGGTGGGTTTATGTAGCAGCCCTGAAAGTCTCAGTCCTGGGCCATATATGTTCCAGATGGCACTGAGGGACGCCGCCATGCTTCCCCTCAGCTTCAACTTAACAACAGCCGAACCACAAGAGATGTTTTCTCTAGAGTTGATTCCCTGAGAGCCTGGCTGCAATTTATGGGCCACAGACAGCTGGGGGCAGAGCATTCTTCCCAGTTGACTTCCACTTCCAATGAGAGCCACTCACTCAGAATAAACATCCCGGGAAGCACATGGACTGACATCAAAGTCTTCAGTTCCTTTTCCAATTTTGATCACAGCAACCCTTTTCACACAGGGTCTACTTAGGCTTTAAAAGCTTGAACTGTGCTCAGCCGCTCACCAGGAGAGTCCCCGCCCCTTCTGTGACCTGGCAGAAACAGCAAAGAGATGTGTGGATGGTCCCTGTGTGGCGCTGCAAAGAGCAGCTGTGCCTGCAGAGCTGGAGAAAAACCTGCCATCGTGTCTTGCACCATAACCCGTTTCCATTTCACGTAGACTATTGAAAAGAATCTGGAAGACATATTTTTTAATTATAAAAAATACACAAATGAGCTTGATGCGGAAGACAGGTAGAATCCCTCTGTGTTTTTAAAGGGCTAACCAGTACCAGCCGGCCTTCAATCTCAGAATGATTAAACTAACAGGGGCTCTAAAGGTCACACAGTTCTCATAATTCTACATGTTGAAGCCTCCCAGGTCCAACAGTTTTGCAGACCGGGAATCTGAGGTGCAGAAAGGTTTCGTGAAGATTTAAAAAATTTGCATAGCTAGTAGAAGAACTGAAATGTACGCTCTCGTTTCTTGACAGTAAATCCGGCACTTGTTTCCAAGTGTCTTTTCTCCAGATTATGGTATTTTGGACTGTTTCTGAAAACCTGCAGATGGTATCACGGTTATTCCCTAACATGGAGATGAAACATGAGCTAATTTTCAATGAGAGTGGACGCTGGAGTAACAGTTCTAATGGGGCACATTCTTTTCTCCTCTCACTCATTTTCAGGGCCACCTGAAAACTTGGGCTCAGGGCTGGGGAGTTAATAGCTGCTTGGTTCCCAGTCTGTTTCTTTTCACAGCTGCAGAGTTCAGTGAGTTGAGCTGCAGTGTTTTGAGTTCACTGTTCACTCAGCCACGACCAAGCTCTGTTGTAAATTTTCCTCCCAGAACACGTGACGATGCATTTCTTGACTATATATCCCAACGGCAGCAGCCGAGTTGTCAGAGTGCTGAGCCCTGCACGGAGGAAGGACGCTCTTGGACTTGACGATTCAGGAAATCAGGACTTGGGACGAATTTGCCAGTCTTTGGTAAGTTAGCGATGCTTCTTGGCTTCGGAAACATTTGAAAGAAGGCTATTTCTAGCAATTAGTAGATGAAGTTTCCCTTTCTTTTTTGTGTTCTAAGGGAATTTTGTTTTGAATTAAAAACAGTTATAAGTTAGAGAAGCAAAATCTAAATTTTCTTTTTATTCTGTTCTGTTAAAAAAAAGTTTCCCTGTGATCACAATGTTATTTATTTTCTCTGTGCTCTCTTGCGTTATATTGATTTTTTAAATTTTGTTTTTAAAATTATAAAAGCAATGCTTTTTCCATGCTCACTCTATGAAATGCAAACATAATGGACATAATAATACACTAAAAAATGAAAGCCCTTCTTACATTCCCCCGCCTCTCCCTGCCTTCTCCGCTATGCACTCAACCTCTCTGAGGTAACCCCTGCTAGCTGTTTGGTGGGACCTCTTAGGGCTTTCTCCATGCATTTATAAGCTGTTTTGCTATTGCAATTCCACAAAGCGCCTTCTCTCCCTCCTCTCTGTACCATGCATCCGTGGGAGAGTTCTAACCTGCAGGTTTCTCCCCAGGCCCTGGCTGTGTGAGCTGTGCTTCAATGCTGAAGATGGAACCTCTGAACAGCACGCACCCCAGCATCGAAACCCCCGGCAGCCCCCTCGAGTCCCATGTCCCCAGCAGCGGAAGTGGCAATGGTAACGAATACTTCTACATTCTGGTGGTCATGTCCTTCTACGGCATTTTCTTGATTGGAATCATGCTGGGCTACATGAAATCCAAGAGGCGGGAGAAGAAGTCCAGCCTCCTGCTGTTGTACAAAGACGAGGAGAGGCTCTGGGGGGAAGCCATGAAGCCGCTGCCCGTGGTGTCGGGCCTGAGGTCCGTGCAGGTGCCCCTGATGCTCAATATGCTGCAGGAGAGCATGGCGCCTGCCCTCTCCTGCACCCTCTGTTCCATGGAAGGGGACAGCGTCAGCTCCGAGTCCTCCTCGCCGGACGTGCACCTCACCATCCAGGAGGAGGGGGCCGATGACGAGCTGGGGGAGACCTCGGAGACGCCCCTGAACGAAAGCAGCGAAGGGTCCTCGGAGAACATCCATCAGAATTCCTAGCACCACCAGGGCCTGTGGACGTGGCCCCATCCGCCAGCACCCTTAAAGAGGGGAAGGACACTTTTCGTGTCTGGTTTCACTTTTGCAGTGCAGCTGCCACTTGGAAGAGACCCTTGGCAAGCCCCTGAATGGGGGGTGGTGGGGGGGGACACTGCGCGGCAGGAGCCAGCAGCAGCCAGGAGTCCATGACGTGCCTGTGGTGTGGGCCCACCGCTGCAAACGCCCTGAAGACACGTAGTGTGTATATTTACTTTGGGGCCCGGGGGTCGGGGTTTCTGTTCAGAATTGGGCAGGTCGATGTGCTGTGTTTTCTCACTGGATGCCTCTGCTCAGTCCCAGTGCTGCCGTGCTTAGGGCGTGCTGAGGGACTGGTTTCCATTTGCTAATTTGCCTAGAGCTTTGTTCTTCTAGATCTGACTGGCTGCAGGTACCTCTACTGTGTACCTGGGGCACTAGTTAACAGGGGGTTACAGCGCTTCTTTTGGGGGTCTTTTGGGTTGGGAGGGGGACATTTGATGGAGGACTTTTGATGGGAGAAAGCTGCAGGTCTGAACCTGGCCTGTACTGTCAGGGAAAAAAAATGCAACTTTTAAGCCTGTTAAATTGGCTGGGATTATAAGACACTCTCTGCTATTTTGACTCTTTCTCTAACATATGACCTTGAACTCTGACCTGGGACTGTCCAGCCTCGCATGCTGGCATGACGTTTTTTGGTTGGAAGGGCTTCCGCAGAATCTAACCTGCATTCCAAATAGGTGCGCAGAGAACGCTTCCTGAGCTTTCCAGAAGGGGCAATGGTGGGGTTGGACAAAGCCAACCATTAGCTCCAGAGCTGCTCACTTCTCAGCCTAGTTTTCTGAGCTGGGACAGGACATAATGTGGACCTCCATGATACCGCCTTTGGTCACATAGCTGAGACCGAGAAGGACATACTCAGGCAGAGGTTGCACAAAGCTGGGGTCCAAGTTCTGTTTCCTGATCTTGAGCCCTGACACTGATTTGCTGTGTGGTCCTGGACATGTCATCAAGAGACTTACCGCCTTCCCGAAGCTCCTGATGATCTACATCCCCAGGGGGCTGGGAGGATATCTTCAGATTTTAAGACTCTGATAAATTCTGCATGGCCTGGTGTGAGGAAGCTTGGACAAAATATTTCCCCCTTGGCCAGTTAGTCTGTAAAAGGATCTGCTTATTTAAAGGAGCAGTGGGCGGCTAGGAACACAAGTAACTGGGAAATTCGGGGCGAATTACCAACTCATCCAGGCTGTCGTTTTCCTCAGCGGTGAACCAAAGAGGCAGATGCCACATTTTACTCTGCAAAGTTCTCTGGGTGCTGGAATGTTAACCCTCTAGCTCAGGGAAGAAGAAAGCTGAAAGGAAGTGCTCAGAAATGCTCGCTAGTGTTTCCATGTAATCCTGTGCTCAGTAGCTCTGCAGCATAGCCTGCAGGCCCTTGAAGACAAGGAGGAAGAGAAACACACCAAAAGGTCAAGTTTAATTCTATTAAAAACAAAAAAAACCTTTTTTTTTTTTTAACATACTGTCCCTGGGTTGGAGACAGCAATAACTCCTGTTCCCACGGAAGGGTTAACAGTATAGGAGCTGGTTGATCAGTTCGCCTGAACACAGCGCTAGAGGAAATTTATGTTTTGGGGGAAAAGTGGCCTCCGTTCACTTTAAAATCCAGAGTGTGGATTTACTCCAAAGGGGGCTGTTTAAGGTGAAAGAAGCCAAGCTGAGTTGGCCCCTTGCCTGGAATCACTTGAATTCTGAAACTTTACTGCGATGGACATGTGCGTTGTCACATTTTCCATTGCTTAATCCTGAAGTTTGGTGCAAGGCTATCTGCGCCCATTAAAAAGTGATGTATATACTTCCTTCTTATTCTATTAAGTTGTACAAAATTGTCTTCTGTATTTAACAGTTTGTAATTTTCACGATATTTTTTAATTTAAATAAACAAGCACATTTTTTTTTCCCCCCTGAGGAAGTTCTGAGTTCTTTCTTTGATGCTTCAATACAATTTGTAGTTTCCAAGACATCCCCAGACACATTCTCCAAGCTGCCTCTGGATCAGGTCATTTTTCAAGGTAGACTCGCATGAAGACGTATTATCTTATTTCTGCCTGAATCATGGACTGAACAGAGCTGGGCTTTCCCATCCTGTGATAGGCTTTGCAGTGAATGAAAGATAAGCTGCAGATGGTCTTACATCAGTTTTTCTTAAATTTGGTGGCTGTGGGGCCTTGGAGCTTGAATGTGCAGTGACATGGCAGCTGCTACAAAGATGTTGCCCCGAATTTGGTTGCAAGACAATGTTTAATTTGCATGCTGGCTTGGCAGATATTATCCACACGTGGTCACAGCCGCACAGACCGATGACCAGGGAGTTGCTATATGTACAGCAACACAAATTTAGGGATATAAGGGAGAAAAAAAAGCTGTGATTTGGGATTGTTCCTCCTTCCTCTCCCAGTCATCTCTGCATGAAGGCTGACTTTCTAAGCTCCTCCTCCTTGGTCTGGCTCTAGCTCTGGCCCGTGGACTGAGGCTCGGCCTGCCTGCTGCAGTCCTTCCTTTATGATTTCATTTACAAGGTTAGAAGGGTTAAAGAAAAATGACCCAAACCAGCGACCCACTTTGAATCAAGCAGATGGTATAGAACATTCTTACTTTTATGTTTCTCTGTGTCCTGTGAGTTTGGCTTTCCTGTTTCAAGTAAATGTTTCTATTAGGTTCACAAGTAATTGTCTCCCTAAAGGATTTATGTAGGGGAGTCTGGACCCTTCCCAAAGCACATCAGGGATCTTCAGCCATGAGTTGGTACTTTGACAATGTAAGAAGAGAAGATTATTTTAAAAGACAAGGAAGTCCTTCAGTTCATCCCGGCTTAATGTCATTCTCGGTAAGGAAATAGTTAAGGAAAACATTTTTTACCCAGGGCGGAAGAAGAGGGAATTCTAAACTCTAATTGTCCTAAAAATATGCAGAGTACACTATGTCGTTTTAATGGAATATTTGTTTTCTTTAAAAAACAAAAAACTTCTAAGCAGAACCTAAGGCCCAAGGGGTTTGGTCTGTGTGGATTTACTCACGCATGTGAAAAACGGAGCAGGGAATTTGGCTCCGTGCACCTAGGATATTAGAAACATATTTTAAAGCACTTAAATGTTAGGGATGAGGTAAATGGATGGTCCTGCTTGTCCCATGCTGTTCTAATTACACCTTTGTACGTCAAAGTCAGGCAGGGATGCTGTCGAGAAAAATATTTTTTTTTCATAGACAGAATCATGGGATCAAAACTACTGGGAGAGGCTGAAGTTGGGCTCATGACTCTGGTTGGAAAACCGACCCCACGGTACACTTAAGAGCAGCCATTAGAGGGTTTTTTGGCCAGGCATGCATTTCCAGGGTTCAGCCGAAGAAGGGTCATTTGTCATCCTGTAAAATGCTGCTCTGATCCTAGACATTGTGAAACAGACAGAACATGGAGCTTACACTGCAGTTAATATTCCAGGTTTAGACAGGGCATTACATTGGCTCAATTGCCTTACCCCAAATCTGGGCACCTTGCTGGAGAAAGTCACAGGGAGTATCATGGGTCAGGGGACAGGAGGTGGTGTCTAGGGCTGGATGGAGACATGTCAGATGACCGACCAGCATGGTGGCTCAGGCAGGGGCTGGACTGCAAGAAGGTAGGGTGTGAATGGGGCTCAGAAGAGGCTCAGCTTTGTTAGGTCTGGCTTTCTAGACTAACACTGCTACTGTGTTGCTCTGTAGCTCTGGGGAAGCGACCCAACCTCTCTGACCTGCAGCCTTTTTCTTTCAAAATGAGAGGCCATGCTGGCCTTCTTCTCTGGGGAGCTGTTAATGAAAAGAATAGTGAAACACAGATACTGAGCTCGGCTTGAAATGAAAGGAAACACAACCTCAGGCTTCTACATGTTAAAATGTGTCCTAGGCATCCATCTGCAAATAAGGTTGCTAAAACTTCCCCTTCTGTGGACAGTTTCCTCAGGAGATTGCAATGTTCAGGAACAGGATACAATTTGCTAAAGGAGAAGGGGCATAAGAAAGAAAAACCACTCTTCAGTTCTGCTGTTCCCCATTTCTGTAATGTTTCCTCCCACACAGGAAGGAACAGTTTGGGATGTAAGCTGTTACTATGGAGATAACCAGCCAAGGTCACTTGTTTGAAGGAGCCCATGGCCCCACAGCACTGGATTGTGAGAGTGACATTATAAAGTTGGGATTTGGTCCTTGACTCAGATAGACAAGCTTCGAGCCCATGGCAGCCCCCATCCATGGCATGGAGGAGGGACACAGTGGGTCCACTCTGCTCCTTTTGTCCTGACAACCTGATCTGTCTTCTCCTTGCACCTCCCCTGCCTCATGCAATACAGGGCTAAACGTTCGTTCTCCCAGTTCTAAGAATTTCTTTTCTCACTTTGCATTTTCTGGCTAAGAAATACAATGAAAGAATTCTTCACACCAGTAACTACACTCTTTTCCTGTCCTGAGTGGTTTTCCAACTGTTTAAAGAAGGTGAATGGCATAGTCTCTCTTATCTTAGTTCTGGCTGCTATAACAAAATACCATAGGCTGGGTGGCTTATAAACCACATAAATTCATTTCTCACAGCTCTGGCGGCTGTAAGTCCATGATCAGGGTTCCGGTATGGTCAGGTTCTGTTAAGGACCCGCCTCCGGTTTGCACACAGCTGTCTTCTCATTGTATCCTCACATGGCAGAAAGAGAGCAAACTAACTCTCTGGCCTCTTCTTATAAGGGCACGAATCCCATTCATGAGGGCTCCACCTTCATAACCTGATTACCGCCTAAAGGCCCCACCTCCAAATACTATCACATTGGGGATTAGATTTCAACACATGAATTTGGGGGGGGGGCACAAATATTCAGCCCGTACCTTCTCTTTTCCCAATTTCCATCCATCTCTTCCTTTCTCGCTTCCTTCTATTACACAAAAGGAACAAGAAAAAAATAACAGTAACCACAATGCTTCATACTTATTAGGCACTTAATTACATGCCACACATATACTGCATCCAATCATTACAACCCCATGCTTTGAGCTTCTACTCTCTCCTAGGCATTTCACAAGGTGCTAGGAGAAATATAACACCTGTTCAACCCCAACAAAAAAGTCATAGTCTTCATATAGATGAATTCCCAAAAAAACCCCAACTATATTTCTGGTTGATGTATGACATTAGTTGAATATTTCTGTGTGTAGGCCTTTTGGCTCTAGAAGGATGTAAGAATATATGGTCTTTGAACAGCGAGGACACCATGATGTGATTAGTTGGAGAAAATGTATTGTTTATCTAATATTTGCTTTGCTCTGTGATAGGTGTGTTCCCTTTATCTTAGTTAATCCTCCCAAGGAAACTCTAAGCTCGGTCTCTAATACTGTTGATGTAGATGTGAAAGTTGAAGTTCAAGGAGATCTTTGCTGGCCAGTGAAATGAATGACGAGGATTCCAAGGCAGATCTTCTGATACAAAACCTTTACATCGCAATCTCTTGAAATCATGAGGAAGCAGAGAGTATAAGGCACGGAATCCACTCCTGCCCCAGACAATAGGCAGCTCTGTGGCATTCCATATGTTGTGCAAGCTTCCTGGGAATGTTTCCTCATGGCTAGCATCTCTACTGACATCCAAACATTGTCAGAAGAGTTTATGAAGCAACTGGAAAAATAAGAAAAAAAGTCTTTGCCATTGATAGGGGGCTGGTGTGTAGACATGACTAGCGTTCACCAATATCCAGTTCTTCTCTGCTTCTGAGAACATGGAAGTCTGGACCTCTCAACTCCTTCTTGTGCACCTCCTCCCCTGCCTCCAGGGGTCAGGCAGGTACGTGACTCATTCTGGTTGATGTAAACTGAGTAGAAGTGATATACGTCACATATAAGCTGAGTCAGTGAACAGCCCATGTTTGACTCTCTAGTCACCCTCTTTACCTGCATGTTCCCAAGGAGACCATGTGTTCCAGATGGTATAAATAATAGATACAGCCTGGGCCAGCCTGAAATAGTGAGTTACTGCATGGAAGGCAATGGCTCTGGAGAGTTGCCCAAACCTGCATGAAGCAATAATAATCTAAGTTATGGTAAATATTGGGAAGTTGGGGTTTTTGCTACTGCAACATAACCTTGCCCATCCAATTCATACAGAGTATGACCCTAGTAGAGAGACTCAGAATGTTGGAAGGTGCTTTCTGGATCATTAGCCCAACCCCTCTGTTTAATTACAGGGAAATTGAGGCTCAGAGCAGTTAAAGGACTCTTTCAAAGTCATAGAGGGAGACAGTAACAGAGCTGGGGTTGCAGCTCAGGTCTCCTGGCATCTGGTTCAAGGTCCTCATGGTGGGCATGGCCACAGAGGTTTGTACCAAGGCTAGTGAAAACAAAAGCCCGAGGGGGTCTTCTTCCTGGAGCCCCTGACTTTGAGCTTTTCTGAGCAGCATTGAGTCACTGGTGCTGTCTCTATTTATGGCCCCATGAGCCCTGCTGGGAAGTGACTTCTTTTTCTCCTGGTCAAATCCTGGCACTTATTGCCCTCTGTGGGGGGATGGATCTGAGTGGGCACACATTCCCCCAAAGCCGTGTGATGTGACATCACTGGAAGTTTTAATAAAAGGGAAGAACCTATAAATAGGGGGAAGGAACTATTCAAACAGGGTTGCACATACTTGCCCCGCATGCTGCTTTGGCTTCAGTTTTATTTGTTTGCATGTTTCGGCTTCGCGCCAGTGCCACCGCGGTCACAGCCTATTCCCCAGTGCAGAATCCTCCCAGGACTGACGTCCCTAGGTGCCGCATAAAGAAAGACCCTTGAAGATAGATGCTGGAGGTTCAGCTCTAGATTGAGGTTTCAGATGATGCAGAAACCAATGGACACATCACTGCCCATTATTTTTATATTTTTGGCCCTGATATGGAAGGAACGGTG